AGAGGAATATGCAAGCACGTTATTTCTCTCATTTTCTCTTAAAACCCAGTAAATGAGTAAGGGCGAGTCAACATTGACAGATTCAATAGAGAATTGTGCAAGCTGCCCCCGAGTTCCGCAGGCAAGTGGGCGGGTGGTGTGTGTTGTGTCCGTTGTGCATTTTTTTGTCTCCTGTGTGATCAGACGGTCATCCTACCCTCTGCTCTCTCAGCCTCACTTGGGTAAATACTCTAGCATAGGACTCTTGGAAGTAATCTTTTCTCCACTATTGCTGTGTCTTTTGGTGAGCCTGACAGTTCCTCTAGCTCCTGAACTGTAACGAAGGATGCCAACGATTTGATCCTAAATTTCATGTCCCTTGGTCAGTGGGTTAATCTACTTACACCCTCAGTGGTCAGTAGGTCTCATTTATAGTATGTCACAAAAGGCTTCTAGACTCAGGGTCAACATTCTTACTAAAAATTACACTTAAATGGTCTTTTACAGTTTATTAAAAACACTTTCACATGTGTTATCATTTTGAGCCCTTGAACAACTCTCATTTTTCAGAAGAAGAACCTTCAGGAGAGGTAAGATGACTTGCCCATCTTGGTACACTCCGTTGGTGATGGAGCTGGGTCTGACTTAACGTTTTCTTCCCTAGTCTTTCTTTCTTTTATGCCTCCTTGCCCCTGTTCCACACCTGCCATATACCTCTGCCAAGCATAAGAAGCTAGCCCCTCCAGATCTTTGACCTACTTATTGCCCAGAACCTTAGCAGACAGAGCCTTGGTTTATTCCTCAGCTCCTAGTCAAACATTTTTTAAAATTTGGTTTTTAATTCACCTGTGTCTCTCTTTAATCAGAGGCCTCTCTGGAAATTAAAGTTTGAGTAACTCTTTTGCTTTATTTAGATATGTGTTGATAAATTGTCCCCATAATTCTGTGACAAAATCGTTTTTTCTTTGTTTTTGTCAGCTGGCTCACTCAGTATGCCCTTATCTACTCAGAAATAACATCTCTGAAATGAATATAAATAATACCAGTCTTTATTGAGCTGTATTACAGCGTACCGACTTCTGTTAAGCTCTCTACATACCTGTGGACTGGGTCCTTTCTTATAGATAAAGAAACCAAGATCCAGGGAGGCTGGGTAATTTGCCCTGGTTCCCATTTCCCAGGGAGTAGTGAAGCCAGGATTCAAGGCCAAGTCTTCCGGACCCCAGAGCTTGTGCTCATGCCCACTGTGCTCAGCTTCAGCTTGGCCAAGGGATGAGCTCTAGGCTGGGAGTCAGGAAGGCTCATCATGTGATTCGTCAAGTGATAGCTTGCCCTATCTTGGTGGCACTTTCAGGCCTGTTGGCATCAGACCTGAAGGCTGGAAAGAAAGCAGAGGAGGCAGAGCCAAAAGGAGGGAGGGTGTTTTGGTTTGGAGAAACCCGATTCTCAGGAATTCAAAAAGAGCAAGAGAGAAAAAGGAGACTTAACAGACATGGCAAACAAACAAAAACACTGGGGCCTCTAGAAGAGGTAGGAAGATGCTAAACGTCACAAAGCAGGACCACAGATGTTTCGTTAGCCTTGCCGGTTCCTCATGTTTGACAGTGATCTTTAAAAATCTCTAAACAGGGTTGTGCTTGTGTTTGTCTGGGGGTGGAGCAAAAAGGTGCAACTGATGAGCTTTGCATCCAACCCTCTAACCAGGCTTAAGGGGAGAAGCACTGCAAGGAATTCAGTGGATGGTGTTAGCTACCTACGAAGAGAATATAGTTGTTAGGGAATGCTTTGAAAAGTAAGAAGCCGCTACTTGGCGTTGCTTCGTGGCAATGCAGACAGAATCAACAGTTCCTTGCTCCCACTGAGCTGGGGCTTCACCACTTCCTGCCAGTGGTTTTTAGTTGGCCCTGGGGCCAACATGTGAGCTGTGCCCACTGAGAGGGAGCAGGCTGAGTGAGTAGGACGGGTGAGCTCATCCCACAGAGCAAGTCCTGGTGTAGAAATTCTTTTATCTTCCCCTCTCTGCTGGTTTTTAGCTTTCAGTAGCAAAATAGTTGGCTTCTGGCTATTTCTTTGACCTCTTTGCTCAGATAACTTTCAGAAGATTTCTTACTTGCCTTCATCTTTGATAGTCAGGAAGCTTTCTCTTCCTCTTAATTTTTCTCCAGAATGTCTTGCGTTGCTGGCAGTGTACATGTCAGTTCTCCTCCCGTCCATCCTTCCCTGGCCACTAAATCCAGGCCTAACCTTGATCGTTATAGAAAACCATTTAAATATAGAGACCTGAAGCCCTTAATCCAGCACTCAAGCAGCATGCTTTACTTTCATTGTTCAAACAGATACTGGAATCTCATGGGTAGCATTAGAGCTATGTTTCCTATTAAGACTTTTTTAAAAACTTGGTCTCACCGAGAGTCAGGTCATCTGGAGATAAGCCAAATAGTTGCCAAGAAACTTTACCTTAGAAAACCAACCAAGCAAACAAAACATATGTTCAAATCCCAGACTCTCAAAGACGAGCCAAAAGTGCTCCCAGGAGAATCCTGTCAACTCAGGCATGGCCTTGATAATCTTCTTGGCTATCCTTGATCAAGAAAAAGCACTCATTCCCCTTGAATTCCTCTTTCTGTCCAAACTCCAGTCCATAGTGCTGCATGCCTCTGGCAGGATAGGTAACTTATTTTTTTTTTGAGTTGAAGTTTCACTCTGTCACCCAGACTGGAGTGCAGTGGCACGCTCCCGGCCACCGCAGCCTCGACCTGCTGGGCTCCGACGATCCTTCCACTTCAGCCTTCCAAGTAGCTGGAACTACAGGCGCACGCTACCACACCCGGCTAGTTTTTTTGATTTGTAGAGATGAGGTCTCGCCAAGTTGCCCAGGCGGATCTCGAACCTGCAGGCTCAGGCAATCCACTCACCTCGACCTCCCAAAGTGTGGGATTACAGGCTGAGCCACCAGGCCTGGCTGGTAACGCATATTAAAAGAGCATTTATTAACGTCAGTGAAAGAGGTCATTATTACATACTGGGTATAGGACAATGTTCTAGAACACTGAGATTCACAGACAAAAGATATAGTTCTTGCCTTCAAAGAATGTGCAGTCTAATTTGAATGATTAAGATAAGTACATATTTGAACATGGCACCAGGGATAATGTTAGAGGAATCCACGACAAAGTGTTTTGAAGTTTAAAGGAAGAAATGATTTTTATTTCTGTTTATTTATTTATTTTTATTTTATTTTATTTTTTGAGTTGGAGTCTCACTCTGTCACCCAGACTGAAGTGCAGTGGCCGCTCCCGGCCACCGCAGCCTCGACCTGCTGGGCTCCGGCAATCCTTCCGCCTCAGCCTTCCAAGTAACTGGAACTACAAGTGTGCGCTACCACGCCTGGCTAATTTTTTGATTTATTGTAGAGATGAGGGCTCGCCAAGTTGCCCAGGCGGGTCTCAAACCTGCGGGCTCAGGCAATCCACTCACTTCAGCCTCCCAAAGCGCGGGATTACAGGCTGAGCCACCGAGCCTGGCTTTTATTTCTGTTTAAAAGGGAAAGTTTTGTAAAGATCATAGCATTTGAGATGAACCTAAAAGATGAGTTGATATGGATTGGAGATAGAATAGTCAGGCATTTCTAGGTAGACGGAACAGTGAGAGGAAATGCCTTGAATTTTGAATAGAGGGAAGAGTTAAGTGGTCCCATGGACTAGAGTTTAGAATGTGTAGGGAGAGGGGTGCAAGATACCGACTGGAACATAGGCTGGACAATGTTGTGAAAAGGAAGTGAATGAACTACTCTATAGATTGATCTTTGTGGGGCAAGAGTAGGGGGATAGTTAGGACACTAGTGGAATAATCCTGGCAAGGGGTGATAGGCCTTCCATAAGGTTGGAAAGAAGGGGACTGAAGTGGCCAACATTTCAGGGGTAATTCTTTAGATTTCAAGCTGATATGAGACCAGGAGTGATGACTCAATGGTGGCCCCCAGAGCTTATGCCTAGAAGCTTAGGAAGATGAGGCACCAAAACAAGGATATCTGAAGGAGTAGTCTATTATAGGAGAAATTGATGGGACAATGTGAGTGTTACATGCTGGTTGATATCCAGGGAAAGATCATGGAAGTATGAATCTGGAGCTTAAAAGAGCATTTCATAGAGGCAGTTGGGGTGAAGCCATGAAATAGATGATATTACCAAAGTAACTATGGTAATCAGGGTCAGAACTGTGAAGAATGCTTGCTTATGACGGGTGAAGGAGCCACAGAAGGACTGGAAGCAGCAGATAGAGAAGCAGGAAGAGGAGAGGACCAGGTGGCACACTTAGGTGGCTGCCAGGGAAAAAGAGAGGAGGCATTCACAGAAGGGGGCCGTCTTCCCAGGTGCGCAGGGTCCCGAGAGCTCTGGGAGAGGTCCTGTGTGCATCTGGGTGTGGGAACATAGCAGCACTGTTAACAGAGAAATTAAGAAGAATCCAGCTACACTCTGTCATGTGATTTGCTCACTAACGGGATGTTCCCTTCCTGAAGAGTTTTGTATTTGCTGTAGGACGGAGGCTTGTTGCGTTGGTCCAGGCACCTCTGTGTCCCATCAGCACTGGCTGAGGATTAGCAGTTAGTGCACATGCTGGGCCTTACCTTACTCATTGTCCCTTGCAAGACACTTCTTTTCTTTTTGGAGCAGTGGGGCTGGAGTGCAATGGCACAATCACAGCTCACCCAGCCTCGACCTGCTGGGCTTAGGCTATCCTTCTGCCTTAGCCTCCTGAGTAGCTGGGACTATAGGCACACACCACCATGCCCAGCTAATTTTTTGAAAAAATTTTTTTTTTTTTTTGTAGAGACAGGGTCTCCCTATGTTGCCTAGGCTGGTCTCAAATTCCTGGGCTCAAGCAATTCTCCAGCCTCAGCCTCCCAAAGTGCTGGGATGACAGGCATGAACCACCACACCCAGCTTCTTGCAAGACATTTCTTTGGTGGTAGTTGGGAGAAGCTCCAGGTGTGCTGACCCTGTTGTGCTCTGTCTCCTCAGAGTCTGTCATAGGGAACTGCATGGATAGAAGTTCTCAAGTCATGGAGCTGCCAGATCACAATGGGCTCGGGTACCCAGCACGGCCCTCAGTCCATGAGCACCACAGGTCCCGGACCCTCCAGAGACACCACACGATCCAGAACAGCGACGATGCTTACGTATGTTGGTCCCCTCCAGCTTTTCAGAGGGGAGCTCCTACCTGTCCCGGCCTTGAAAACGGCATCTTTCCTCTCCTCTCCCCTCCCCGGTCAGAGTCCAGCACCTCCGGGAACTATGGGTGCCTTCCTGTGTATCACCCTAACAGACTAGCCCTTCATTCCAAGAGAATCTGTACTTCAGATTTTAGACAGAGGAATCAGTAGTTGCTACCTGCTTAGCTTCCTCAAGTCTCAGTTATCAAAGCTGTCCCCAAACAGCCTAAACCCAGGCTTCAGCAGGTGACCCTTAGGCTTTTGGTTAATTCTTGAAGCTGCATTGAACTTGCTTAGGTAAAGGGAGCTGATCCAACTCAGCATGGCTTTGTTTTCCAAGGACAGCAGTAATACAACAGCAGCCAGCCACATGTGGCTGTTCGAATGTGAACTTACTGAAATTAAGTACAATTAAAAATTCAACTCCTCATACTACTCACACCATGAGTGCTCGGTAGCTTCCTGTGGCCAGTGGATACCATCCTGGACAGGGGCAGATGTAGAACATTCCAGTCACTGCAGAGTATGTGATTGGACAGTGCTGTCCCAAGACAAACTCCTGCTGGTGAGGGGATAGGTCAGCAACCTTGTTTTAGATGGCATGTGGGCATCACGGGGCTCTAATTATGACCTGATATTTACCATGCTCTCCCCCACCCATGGGGGAGGGAAGGCAGAAACAGTTTCCCTCTTCGGATGGTACTACAGAGGAAGGGAGTCTGGGAGTGGTGTCCTAGGCTGCTCTTTGCCTGGGCTCTTTTAGAAGGCACAGCTGTCTCTAAGGGTCATCTGAGAGCAGCACATTCTGTGGTATCCTTATTTCTTTTCCTGGTTGTTTTCTGCAGGTACAGCTGGATAACTTGCCAGGAATGAGTCTCGTGGCTGGGAAAGCACTTAGCTCTGCACGGATGTCCGATGCGGTTCTCAGTCAGTCTTCACTCATGGGCAGCCAGCAGTTTCAGGATGGGGAAAATGAGGGTAAGGGCACCCCAGAGAAATTTCTGGAGGGGGGCCTCCCTCCACCTTCTGTGGAAAGGGCTTGCCGGGAGGCAGAGCCACAGTGCCCCTAAGGGTTCTGGTCATAGCACCCTTTCCCACATGTCTTCCCCTGAGTGTGACGTGCAAAGGAGATGTATATTCTGGTATATTCTGGCTATCACATTCCTGCCTCTAATGCTTTGTGAAGTATGCCTTTAATAACTGATTTTTGGTTCTGACTAGAGGGGAGCATGTCCCAATGGAACATTTTTACCTCTCCTTAGAGACAGTCGAGGGGGTGCCATAACCAGAGAAGGCGTAGGCTTTGGTTGGACAGTTCTGCAGTAAATCCTGACCACGTCCTTTCCAGGTTCTGCCAGCAAGTCACTTGGCCTTTCTGGACCCCGACGTCCTCGTCTGTAAAGTGGCAAAATCAGTAGCGCCTGTGCCCTACATTGCACTGTGAGGGTGACTGGCTTACTGAGTGTGAAGTGCTCGGCACGATGCATGCAACACAGGGAGGGCCCAGGAACAGGTGTCTGCAAGTAGTGAAGTCATGTCTCTTTTCCCCTAAGAGGCGAGGCTTTCCGAAGGAGCAGTTCTCTATCTCCTCCCATACTACAGCAGCTGATCTTACTTGAGGATGGGGAAAGAGTAGAGGGAAAAATGGAACTCTAGAAAAGAGTACAGAAGAATCCTGGCCCCCAGCCCATAGCACTCAATGACTTGACGGCCTGCTCTCTCTCCCCCTTGCTCACCTACCCCCCACTTCCCTGCCAATCTCGTGTTCTTTTTGGTCTTGCAGAATGTGGGGCGAGTCTGGGAGGCCACACGCACCCAGACCTGAGTGATGGCAGCCAGCATTTAAACTCCTCTTGCTATCCATCCACGTGTATTACAGACATTCTGCTCAGCTACAAGCACCCCGAGGTCTCCTTCAGCATGGAGCAGGCCGGCGTGTAACAAGAAACAGAAAGTAAGTGTCACCCTGGCCAGGGCCAGACCAGCCCTATGGCCTAGCGCCAGTCAGGAGATTCATCCCATGTGTGGTGGCCAGTGAAAATGACAACGCCTCTCTTCCTCTCGTGGCCCTCACATTGTGCTGCTTTTTCATTAAGCACTGTGCTAGTTTTAGGGCACTGGCAGGGGGCATATGGAAGGAATGCTGGACATAGTCCCTTGGTTCAGTTATGGGGATAAGACAGAGACCTGCCTTGTGTGTCTGTGGCCTTCACAGAGGCAGAAGTGAGCTGTGGCTCTGAAGGACAGAGGTGACCTCTGGCCAGTGTAATAAGGAAAGGTAGATGTCCTTAAACTCAGTCCTAAGGCTGAAATCTAGCAAGAAAATAGGTCCAGCCATGTTTTTGAAGACCATATGGAAGCAAGGGGAAGGATATTCCAGACTGAGGAAATGTGGCCAGAGGCTATGGGTAGAAAATGGGCAAATTGACCAGCTGGAGTAATGCAGAGGGTACACAGCAGGTACTGTTGGTTCTGTCTCTGAAGAATCTTTGACAGAAAATTCTTGATGAAAGGAAAGCCATCTGGCAACTCTGTATTAGAGCCTCAATATGGCAAGGCTCTTAAAATACCTGAGGTAAAAGTGAACCCGTTGTATTTTGTTTTTAGAAAAGTTTTCAGTGGACTATTTGAGACTTTCTCTTTTCAAGTTCACTTTCCTCTGTGTCTGCTCTGTTGCAGGTTTTGTGTACAGCTTGGGAATGAAAAGGTCGATTTTAAACCAACAGTATCTAGCAGCGCTGCGCCAAACTGCCCCTGTGTCTCTCTCCACCCAGAATATCACGGTTCCTTTCCTCACATTTGGTTCCTCAGTGTGCTGTTCTTTTGGGTTCTGAGAGGGTTTTGCCATGTTTGCTTGTATGACCAAGTCACCAAGGAAATAAACAGGAAATCTATGTTCTCTGTCTTTTGTGAAAGTGTATTTGGTATATTTGAGTTAGTGGTTTTTTTGTTTTGTTTTGAGGTTTGTTTGTGCTTTTTTGTTTTGTTTTTGGCTATGTTTTCCTTTGGAGGTGATTTGCTTTATTTTTGCCTCCCTTTTTTTTTTTTTGGCTTTTTTCTTTCTTCCCTTTTTTTGAAACGGGAGAGTAAAGCAGTTAGAGCTCAGAGGCCAGGAGCCCCAAGGCCACTCCGTCCCTAGTCTTCACCAACAGAGCACTCTGCCTCACTTTCCCACAGGAGCAAGCACTAACAGATAACATACTTGGAGTCTTGGCAGCCAGCTGGCAGAGGGAGAGGGGAAGAGGTGAGGCCTCTGGCGCTTAGAAAACCAAAAGAGAGCAAAACTCCCAAGCCTGGAGCCTAGAGAGGGCTCTACTGCTGGCATCCACCGAAAAACATGGCCGGCCAGCCCAGATCACACCAAAACTTTACATGGAAATTGACATGGGCTGGCATTACTGGGTTGCCAGTTAGAACATCTCAACTTGAGCAGTCTCTTGGTGAATAATTCAGTCCCCCTCTTGTGGAAAGTTGGAAAGTCGGTTGCCTTTGCCATCCTGCTGGTTCAGCCCACCGACTGAACACCCAACAGCAGTGCTCTCTGCTTTTTGTGTCCTCTTTCATTCTCATTTTATATTGTGCTATAAGAAGGATTGTTTTTCCATATATATATATATTATATATGTGTGTATAATATATATATGCTTTCCCCTTTCACCTCTTTGTCACAGGCAAGCAACACAGGAGATTTTCTTGGGTGCCACCTCTCTCCCGACCCTTCCTCCTCCTCAGGCATCCTCAGGCCCTGTATTTTCATTCTGGATCATGTAGGAATTGTTTTTGGTCAATGTTGATATTATTGTTATTATTAATAATAAATAAAGACAAAAGGAATTTTTGTTTAAAAGAGAAATGTTTAACCAGATTCTGTTCTATTTGAATCGTGACTTGCACCTTTCATCTGAAGCGTTTCCTTCAGGCCATGTCATTGTGAGCGCTCTTACTCGTGCCGTGACAGACACCGTGGGCTCCTTTCCCGAGCCAAGCAGTGCGTACGCAATAGCTGTTATTTGTGTCGTTATCTTGATTTCTCTTCACTGTTAGAAACCAAAGTCTCTGCTGGCTGGGGGCTGAGAGAGGATCTGGGGTGTCTCCTTCTCATCTCCACAAAAGAGAGACCTTCACTATTCTGACTCTCGATCGTTTTTCTGGGAAAGGAGAGTAAGAGGTCCCGAGTCCCCTCCCGGTCTTTCCTCCCGAATTTGCACAGAAGAAAGCGGGTGCCCAGCGTGGCCATCCTGGTGTTGCTGGCAGGATCCCCATGCAGCTTATCCTTCTCCACTGACACTGGCAGCTCGGCTCCTGGACCCAAATCCCGCAAGTGGATTTCTGCAGTGCCCGAGCCTTTCTTGGGATCTCTCCTGAGTTTCCACGGTCCCCAGTCTCCCTCCTCTTGGTGGGGCCACCGACTACTCACCAGAAGGGGGCTTACCAAGAAAGCCCTCAAAGCCATGGTTTGACTTTCTGGGCTTGTTCCAGCTTGATGCCCCCGACTGGGCCCCTCCCCAGCACACGCTCAGCCCGACCTGTTTACATGGTCCTGTATGTATGAAGAGCGGACTGCATCCTCCAGCACCACCCAGATGGAAGCCAGTGAGCCTACTAACCGTGCCATCTTGTGAACTACACTTTTTAAAAAAATCATCGCTTTGTATTGTAGTAACCAATATGCGCAGTATATGTTGAATGTATATGAACATACTTTCCTATTTCTGTTCTTTGGAAATGTCAGAAGTATTTTTTTCTTTCTCATTTATGTTGAACTAAAAAAGGATTAAAAGAAATCTCCAAATTCAAGTTGCTAAGACCTTTTGTCCTTTCTGTTGTGGGGCACTTACAACTTAGTGACTTCGTTGGACAGCAAGAGGCTGTGAAAACAAAAACCTGATCAAGTTCTTATGCTGAGCGATCATTTGCCTCGTGGTTCAGAGTCGAGTTGGCAGAAGGATCCAGGTGGGTGGGGGTTGGAACGGACGCCTAGGCTCAAGGTGGGGCTTCAAGTGATTCATTATCACCTTGCCTCACTAAGCTAGCATGCTCTAGAAGCCTGAACTCCACTTCACACTGTGTCCCCGGGCACCCATCTAGAACTCTGTCCCCCAAGAATGGAGCTTTGTGTTTGCTGAGTCTGGTGGAAAACAGCTTCCTTGAAAGGGAACTTTTGAAGGAGCAGAGGGAAGGGAGGTCCTCAAAGACCTGGCACAGGCTGACCCCTATCAGCCTGCTGAGACAACAGCCAAATAACTGTCAGGACAGGGAGGGGGGCTTTTCCTGTAGTTTTCCCCTTTCTCACACCTAGATTTCAAAGGGCTGGGTAGAATGTCTAGCCAGGTCCCAGGCAGGGCTAGAGCTAGCTAGCCAAAGGCCTTCCACAAAGAAAGCTTCCGGAAGCTGGAGGCACTGCCTGAGTTCATAGAAGTAAGAGGAAGCACCCTACTACCCTCCAGTCTGTGGGAGCCAGAAAGTTGCTGTGGGATTGTTGAGAACAGAAGAGAGCCTGCTCCAGAGGGGCCTTCTAGACATGGTGTCTGTCCACTTGTGTGAACAAGGCTAGGTGAGCCTTTGGAACCAGTAGTACACCCAGATGACTTCCGGCAACTTGCAACACGCTTGCAACAGGCATCACTCCCTCCCGAAATCAGCTAGGAGGCTTTTGGGCTAGAAGCAGGGCAAGCTTCCAGAGGACACAGGCACTACCTCCTGAGTGTAGACCTGGAGATCTCTGAGCTCTAGAAAACAGAAGCCATGCTGGCAGATCCTTTCTGGCCTTGTGCCAGCTCCACTCACACCCACCGCAAAGATCAAGCATTCAGAGGGCTGCTGTGCCTCCCATTGCTGGTCGAAGATGAGTTCTGTCTTGGCCTTAGTCTCCCAAGTAGGAGGGCAGAGGGAATTTTGCAGAGTTGGTCACAATGCCCTGCCCTAGGTTCTAACTTGGGGCTCTATCACAAAACTGTCAAATACAAATACTGGGAGGGGTCCTCTCCCCTGCTCCGTCAGAACATGCTCCACCTGGCTCTCCCATCCTGACCCACACCACGTGCTCACAGAGGACATGTTCTGAGCAGGGGCTGATACAAGGCTGAGTCCCCTCCCAAGGCCCACTCCTCCACAGAGCCCTCTGCCAGTCTGGTGACCCTTCCTTTAGCATGCCAGTGTCATTCATTGAACAAATATTTGGTGAGTATCTCTTATGTGCCAGGCCCAGCAGAGGACAGAGTCCTCCCAGTGCAGACTAACCCGTATGTTGGGACATAAATTGTGAAAGGAATCACTAACTGTTCTGAGCAAAATCCACTCTGCAGCCGCTGCCAGCACTCCCACACATAGGGCCTTCAGGGCCAGCACTTGGTGATGTGACCCAAGTCAGGAATGGTGGCACTGGAGACTCCCAAGGAGAGAAGGGGCGGGGATAGGAATAAGGGCCTATGTTGGTGGACCCTGGCTCCACTCAACAGGCCAACCCAGAGGCGCTCAGCACCTCCATGCCTGGCTGGACTCTGAGATGGACTCTAGAGTCTGTGATGACCCTAGTTTGTTGTTCGGTTTTCCATGGGCCTCTGTCTAGAAAGACTTCCTTCCTTTCCCACATATTAGTAAAGAGCAGTTTGAACTAATTTAAGCCAAATATGCAATAGGATAGAGTAGACACACTAGTGAGTAGCTTCCTGCTTGGTAAGATGCTGTGAGGGTAGGAGGATGGGGGTGTGGGGTTCAGAAATCACCGATTGGGTACAATGTCCACTCTGGGCAATGGGCCATCTAACCCCCAATCTCCCCACTACACAATATGTCCATGTAACAAGCATGCATGTGTACCCCTGAATCTAGGAGAGAAATGGAAAAAAAGATGCTATCAACAGCACCCTTATCCCTATACCTGGGAACCCCTGAGCCAGGAAACAGAAGTCCCTGAACAGACCACAGGGCTACAGGAATCGGCCTCTGCCGCTGGTGGCCCACAGACCGCCATCAAAGAACCAGAAGCCAGGCCTCCTGACTCCAGCCTTGCTAGCACTGAAGAGTAACAGCAGAAGGAGGATGTGCAGCTCTTAACAGCTCTGAGTTGTAGCTCCGTAGGCATGATGACAAGTGTAAAATCTGGTATCAGCCTTGCAGGGACATAACTAAGTTCATCATGAAAGCACTTCGGCTGCTAACGAACTGTGCAAAGGTAGATACTAGGTTGAGCCATAATCATGATTTTATGGTAATAAGCCACAGAAAGTGTAAATTGTGGCAAGTGGTACCGGGATCCCCACATGCTGCCTGGAACAAACTCTACTCCCCAGAAGGACCCTCTCTAGGCCTGACACACCTGTGAGCTGCCCCAGCAGGGACTCAGACCCCGTCCCACTCTCCAAGCTACTGATGACCGGGATGGCCAAGGGGCTTCCAGGCTGACTGCTTGTTGAGGCCACTTCCCTCTCTCCATAGTCCCACAGTCATCTGGGGCTGGTTCCATGCTGGAGACAAGGTCCCACATCTCAGCACCTGCAAGTCAAGGTCAAGTAGAGAAATATAAGGTCCCTGTCTTCTCTATTTCTGCTGCCGGAGACTGGGTGGGGTCTTGTGCTGTGGTCTGACAAGCAAAGGGGTGGAAGGGGCTAGAGTTATCCCACAGAAACGGGGATAGAATACCAGAAACTGGGATTTGGGGACATGGGATAGTTACTGTTTACTACGTGCTAGGGACCTTTCCAACAGTTTTGCAAACACATTCAGGCTTCATGCTTATAACAGAACAAATTTATTATCTGACAGTTCTGGAGGCGAGAGGTCCAAAACGGGTCACACTCGGCTACAGTCGTGGTGCCGGTAGAGCGGTGTTCCTTCTGGAGGATCTAGGGGAGAATCTGATCCTCTGCCTTCTCTGGCTTCTAGGGAGGGGCTGCCCATGTCCCTTGGCTCATGGCCCCCCTCCCGGCAGCCACATGACACTGACCTCTGCTGCTATCCTCACCTCTCCTTTGACTTCACTGCCTCCCTCTTTCATATTTAAGAACCCCAGGCGAGGCTCAGTGGCTCAGCCTGTCATCCCAGCACTTTGAGAGACCAAGGCAAGTGGATTGTCTGAACCTGTGGGTTCAAGACCAGCCCAGGCAACTTGGTGAGACCTCGTCTCTACAATAAAACAAAAATTACCTGGGCATGGTATAGTGCATGCCTGTAGTTCTGGCTACTTGGAAGGCTGAGGCGGAAGGATCATCGAGCCTAGCAGATCGACACTGGGGTGGCCATGAGTGTGCCACTGCACTCCAGCCTGGGCGACGGAGTGAGACTCCAACTCAAAAAAAAACAAAAAACAAAAACCCCAGTGATTACAATGGGCCCACCTGGGTAATCCAGACTCATGACCCCATCCATCCCCAGGGTCTTTAATCAAGTTTTAAAAATCCCACCTGCCAGGTACGGTAACAGAGTCACACGTTCCAGGGACTAGGGCATGGGCATCTTTGGGGGGACATGATTCTCCTCACATATAGTAACCCCTCTGGGAGATGATGTGTTCTATCCTTATCGCCACTGAACAGATAAGAAACCTAGATGTGGGGGAGTTATGTAACTTGTCCAGGGTCAAACAGCCCATAAGTATCTGGGATTCAAATCCAAGGTCTTCTGGCTCCAGAGCCTTCTCTGAGGTGAAAGGCACGAAGCTGGCCACTCCTGGATCTGGCAGACAGAGATGCCAGCTGTTTTCTGGAGTGTTAGGGAGTTTCCTAGAGAGACACTACAGGGCACGTGTCTGCCCTGGGTCCAAAGACCTGGGTTCTAGGTCCAGCCCTGCCTCGAACTCCCTGAGAGATGAGAGCTGTTGGGCAGATTCCTTGTGCTTTCTTCAGTCTCCTCACCTGTGAGATGGAGTGGGCGGGGCTGGCGTTATCTGACGGTTCCTCTCAGCTTGGACAGTCAGGGCTCTGTGACTCAGGTTCTGTCGGTGACTGTGGTGAGTGGTCTGAGCCTTCCGGGAGAAATCTCAGGGGGTGCCGCAAATGCCAGTGAATGCACAGCACTTTACATCCCCAGGCTCTCTCAGGGGCCTCCAGCATCCCTGACCAGTCCTGTCCCCATTTTGCAGACGAGAAACTGAGGCTCAGAGAGATTACATGATTCGCTCACAGTCTTTCTCCAGCAAGATGGAGGCAAAGTGAAATAAGAAACCCTGTCTCCTGCCACCTCCGCCTCGGGGGTCTCCCCCCCCCACCAGGGGGTCCTAAGAGCAAATATCCGTTCTCACCTTTATATGCTCAGATGTAAATACGAACCCCACAAAAGGTATACATCTTCGATTTAAGTGACTTCAATTCTGTGATTTACTTTTTTGATGTTAAAAAGTCTTTCCTTTCTTGAAGTGATGGTTTTTTGCTGCTGTTGTTTTTTACAGAGGTAGCAGGAGGTAATATCCTTACATGGCAAAGTTATACATTGACAACCCTGACTTGGTCTCTGGAGTTTGTTTTGATATTCGGGAGGTCTCTGAAAACTCAGTCTGGGGGTTACTGAGCTGCTCCCCTCTCGCCCCAGGCAAGTCCCCAGAGCCACAGATTTCTTGCAGTTTCCTTTTGGGAGTCCTGCAGGGGGTCTGGCGAGAGGCTGCAGGACCTGCAGGAACTAGAGAAGAATGTCAGTGGGAGGAGGGGGCAGGAGTGGGTGGGGGGAGGGTGTGTGTGTGTGTGTGTGTGTGTGTGTGAGAGAGAGAGAGAGAGAGAGAGAGAGAGAGGGAGAGGAGATTCACCTCCCTGAGGGAGGGAAGGGGGCCATAGCCAGGAAACATGGCAACAGCCATAGCTCAAAGACCACATGGCCACACCAGAGTCTAGTAAGGCAACAGCCCGGAAGCATCTTAAGTGGAGGAGTCCCAGCATCCCTCCCCACCTCTCCTCCGCTGCTCTGCCACGGTGGACAGTGACACCCACCCACACACTCCCATAGATGGAAGAGGATGAGTGCAGGTAACCCGACCCCGGGGGACCTGCAAGCCCGCATCACTCCCGCCTCGCCCCCACCGAACCCTTGATCCCTGCCTCGCAGCCCCCGCAGCTTCCTGTTTGCCCACTCTATTTGCCTAGCCCCAGGGACAGAGCTGATCCTTGAACTCTAAGTTCCACATCGCCGGGACCAGTGAGCAGCCACAGGGCCGGGCTGGGCTTATCAGCCTCCCAGCCCAACCCAGCCCAGCCCAGCCCAGCCCATAGCTGGAGACTTAAATAGGCGCTGGGCTCTTGGGCCCTCAGAGACTACTGGAGGGAGGTGAGTGCTAGCGCCTGCCCCGGGGGGCTGTGGCTCCCCAGCTCTAGACGTTTGAGGCTCGGGCTCTGCCCAAGGCCTGGGCTCTGGACACCTGAGCCCTTCTGGGTCCCTTGTCCTCCCCTGGCTGCAGTGAGTGGGGGGAGCACGGGTCTCCTGCATACTAGCGGCCTCCCACTCAGCCAGGCCTCTCTTCTCCTCCAGGTAACTCACACTCCTTCAAGATGAAAGCCGTGGTGCTGACCCTGGCTGTGCTCTTTCTGACGGGTAGGTGCCTTCCCCAGCCTAGGAAGCCAGCCCTCAGGGGGCCTTCTCCCCAGACCCCTGTGGTCCTCACCCTCCTGGGGCACAGGGAGAATTTCTCATGAGTCTCCTCTCCCCTGGTTCCAAGCCTGACATCTTGGCTCAGATCCCAGCCCAGAGCTGGCCTGACCTGGGTCTCCCCTCCCACCTCCAGGGAGCCAGGCACGGCATTTCTGGCAGCAAGATGAGCCCCAGTCCCCCTGGGATCGAGTGAAGGATTTAGCCACCGTGTATGTGGATGCAATCAAAGACAGTGGCAGAGACTATGTGTCCCAGTTTGAAGCCTCCGCCTTGGGAAAACAGCTCAAGTAAGGATCCAGCCTGGGTTCTGGGCAGGGGGAGGAGCTGCGGGTTCTAGGGGCAGAGGGGCTTGTGGGGAGCTGCTGGAGCCCGTCTGGCTGAACCCTCACCTACGATTTGACGACCTGGGCCCCACAGACGGTCTGGATGGAGAAACCGGAATGGGATCCCCAAGCAGGATCACAGCCCATGCCCCCTGCAAGGGACAGACCAGGGCTGCTCGCTTTGTCATTTCAGCACCTCATTCTGCCCCCAAGTGCAGTGGGCACCTCCCCTTCTTAGCCACCTCCTCTGCTCCTGTCTAGCAAGAGGGATGGCTGTCTGCAGAGCGGAGGACGGACTGGAAGCGTAGAGGCGAGGCCCTGCAAGGGCCCACTTTGGGGCAGACCCAACCGGGCACCAACACTGACTTTGTCTCTCCCTAGCTCCTCTCTGTGCCAGATCTGCCTGCACGGTGGGCCATGGCGATGGCGGGGCCGGGGTCCTGGGTGAGAGTGTGTGGGAAATCTAGGTCCACAACTGCTGCACACCTGAGGACAGACGATGCTTAGGCATCATCCCGGGTCAGCCGGGGGAAGGCCAGGGGGCCGGGAGGCTAGCCTCAGCCCTGCTCTCTCCCGATCCAGCCTGAAGCTCCTGGACAACTGGGACAGCCTGACCACCAGTTTCAGCAAGCTGCGCGAGCAGCTGGGCCCGGTGACCCAGGAGTTCTGGGATAACCTGGAGAAGGAGACGGAAGCGCTGAGGCAGGAGATGAACAAGGACGTGGAGGAGATGAAGACGAAAGTGCAGCCCTACCTGGACGAGTTCCAGAAGAAGTGGCAGGAGGAGGTGGAGCTCTACCGCCAGAAGGTGGAGCCGCTGGGCTCGGAGCTCCGCGAGGGCGCGCGCCAGAAGCTGCAGGAGCTGCAGGAGAAGCTGAGCCCGCTGGGCGAGGAGCTGCGCGACCGCGCGCGCACCCACGTGGACTCGCTGCGCACCCAGCTGGCGCCCTACAGCGAGGAGCTGCGCCAGCGCCTGGCCTCACGCCTCGAGGCGCTCAAGGAGAGTGGCGGCGCCAGCCTGGCCGACTACCACGCCAAGGCCAGCGAGCAGCTGAGCGCGCTCAGCGAGAAGGCCAAGCCCGCGCTCGAAGACCTGCGCCAGGGCCTCCTGCCCGTGCTGGAGAGCTTCAAGGTCAGCCTCCTGAGCGCCCTCGAGGAGGCCAGCAAGAAGCTGAACGCCCAGTGAGGCTCCCGCCGCTGCCCCCCGCCCCGGCGCTCGGGTTCGCACAATAAACCTCTTCCACAGTGGGACCGGCTTCTTTCTTTGGGGGGGACTACAGGGAAGATGGGGCGGGGAGGGGCTCCAGGGGCGCCCGGTGGGACCTTGGGCCGCGGAGCAGGGACTTGCAGCCGAGCTCAGCAACTCCAAGTCCAGGCTGGACACCTTAGGGCCTTAATTGAGGGAGGCGCCTGGGCACCTGGGTCAGGAGCAAGGGGCAGAGTCCCTTTCCTTGCAAGGCTCAAGTAGAAAGGAAGTCACAGAGGACCATACAAAGCCCCAGTCCATGGGCCAAGTGTCCTGAAAGAGGCTCAAAGAAGGTCTGCAGCCATGTCTGGAAGGTCAGGAAACAACATTGCCTTTGTGGGAACGGTGGGCTGCCTGTCCCCAGAAGTGTTCCCATATGGAAACCGGGCAAGCAGATGTGTCCACCCGGACAGAGGGCAGGAGCATCCTTCAGCCTGCGGGCTCTAAGCAGGGTGGGGTGGGCCTCGGGAGCCATTGGGACTTGAAGGGTTTGCCCAGGTGCAAACAAAGCACTTGGCGCTGGCTTTTCCTCCCTCGTTAATCAAAAGAAAGAAAGAAAACCTCAAGTAGACATTTCCCTTTTCTTTTCCCAAGGCCCATACCTCTCCTGCTACTCCCACCCCACCCCAAAACAGCCTAGTTTCCTCAGCTGTGGCAGCCAGCCATCCCACCTCCTGTGGAGTCTGCCACCCCCTTTTTCTGCCAGCGCTGGCTGAGTCAGAAAAATAACCACTACCTCCTGCAAGTAATTAGCACGTTGCTGCTTCCAAGATCTCTGGTATCCGCTGTCTCCCTGCATCCTTCCTTCCCCACATCCTGGGTGGGTCGCCATCAGATCTCCTGCCTGGATACAGGAGCTGAAGCTTGGAAACGTCACTCCCAGCGTGAAAACAGGAGAGGCTGCACTGTTTAGGCCCTCTGCCGGGGGCATCCATGATTATTAAAACGAAATGTGCCGCCTGGCACTCAAGTTCATGTGGGCGCACATGCGCCAGCACATTTCCGCGCTGCCTTCCTGCCCACAGTGGGAACTCCCTCACTCTCATGGCTGAACATTTCCATGTGCATTCACATGGACCTGCCTCTTCCTCAGTGTCAGTGTATTTTTTTTTTTTGAGTTGGAGTCTCACTTTGTCTCCCAGGCTGGGGTGCAGTGACATACTCACAGGCCACCCCAGCATTGACCTGCTGGCCTCCGGAGAGCCTTCCACCTCAACCTTCCAAGCAACCGGAACTACAGGCTACTATGCCTGGCTAATTTTTTTAAAAATTTATTTATTGTAGAGACGAGGTCTCCCCAAGTTGCCCATGCTGGTCTCGAACCTGTGGGCTCAGGCAATCCACTTGCCTCGGCCTCCCAAAGTGCAGGGATTACAGGCTGAGCCACCGAGCCCAGCTCCAGTGTATCTTAACTACCCCTTGGATAACTGTCCACAGCTAGGTGTCCAGCCAGACAAGGGCGGGAACATTTTCCAGGTGTGGGAGCTGAGATTCCTGGCTCAAATTGGGCTGAGAGAGAAGCCCAGGTGGATTTCCAGAGAGAAAGCAGTCTCCAGATGGGGCCAACCAATGCAACCAAGATCTGTAAAATAGCTCCCTGGCTGGGTGCAGTGGCTCAAGCCTGTAATCCTGTCACGTTGGGAGGCCGAGGCGAGGGGACTGCCTGCGCCCATGAGTTCCAGACCATCCTGGGCAACTTGGCGAGACCTTGTCTCTACAATAAAATAAAAAAATTTAGCCGGGCGTGGTAGAGCATGCTATAGTTCCGGCTGCTTGGAAGGCTGAGGCAGAGGGATCATCTGAGCGCAGCAGGTCGACACTGGGGTGGCTGTGAGCATGCCACTACACTCTAGCCTGGGTGATGGAGTGTGATTCCAACTCAAGAAAAAGGAGCCCCCCCCCAACACCTGGCACAGGAGTGACGAAGCTTTTTATCTGCAACAGCTGAGCAGAATGTGGATGGCTGACTAGGGATTGAGATCTGGTCCTGCCATTTGCTGGCTCTGTGACACACTAGGCAAGTGCCTTCATCTCCCTAAGCCTCAGCTTTTTAAAATCTGAAGAGTCAGGGGGGTCTGCTCAAGCCATCTGTGGCTCTGGAGCTCCCTGATGTGACATCTGTTGGGTGGTGGGGACATAAAAGAAGCTGCATCTATTGGGGTGACCTTGTGCTCCTTCTTGGTTCCCAGGGCACTGGCCCCCTGCTCCAGTCCTGGCCATAACGATGACAACATGTCAAAAAATTGGCATGCAGGTGCTGTGCCAGATGTTTTTAAGCACTATCTCATTTCATCAATAAACCTATGGTGCAGGTAACACTGTTGTATCCACTCTACAGATAAGAAACTGAGGCTGGTATAAAGGGGTGGAACCAGACTAGAGTCTAATTGTATCTTACTCTAACCACTATGCCATTCGGTCTCCTCTTTCTCAAGTATGCCCAGGTGGCCCAGGTAGGAAAAGTCAGTTCCACAGTTTTGGTGAAAACACACAGTCTCAACTCTGATGGTGATACAAACGTGTCAGGCATAGTACCAGGCATACAGCACACACTCAAGTCACATGGACAGCACTTGACAGTTTTTCAAAGTATTGGCCAACCTGTCATCCCATTGATCTTCCACACCAACCTGTCTGCCAAGGCAGGCAGAGTAGGGGGGGTCACTCCTACCTTACACGTGAAGAAACTCGGGCTCCAAGACCAGTACCCGGCTGCTAAGAGGCGGTAAGGCCCTGGTCCCAGGCCTGCCTGAGTTGGAATCAGTTCAGTGTCTCCCACAAAGCAGCCCCAGCCCATTCCCACACCCAAACATAGATGGCACACGCGTGACGTCCTGCTCATGGCAGCCTCTCGGCCAGCTTTATTGGGAGACTAGTGTGCCTGGAGGTGGGCCAGGCCTGGGGTGGAATGGGAGGGTACTGAGAAGGCTGTCCCTTTCAAGCAACCTGTAGGGGCAGCCCTGGAGGCGGCAGGACCCAGGAAGCTGTCAGGATGGATAGGCAGGAGCAATTGGGGTGTTGAATCTCAGGGGTTCTCAGCTGGAGTCGGTGTGGCCTCAGAGGTCGAATCCCAGAACTCCGAGAACTTGCCCTTGACGGTGCTCCAGTAGTCTTTCAGAGAGCTGAAGCCATCACTCACCCAGCCCCTGGGAGTTCAATCAGCAAGAGGGAGCAAAAGAGGTGGCTGTGAGAGCTTGTCAGGCAGTAGCAAACAGGGGACTCCCACCCATGTCCCCACTGATTCTTTCCCCACTCTCCCAACCTCACAGACAACAGTCCTGAGGCCTCAGGCAGGAACCACCTACAGCCTCAGCACAAGTCTAACCCTGATTTCTCCGGGTCAGGCGAGAACTTTGCGCCTCCTCGGGCTCAAGACACAAAGTGCTTGAGTGGGGAGACGGATAAAGCAAGACAGTCATTGTATCCCATGCTCATAGTGCCCCCTAGAGTTGTACAACCCTCCTGGAGGTTCTGAGGGGATTTGGGCAGAGGGAGACAGACGGGCTCTTAATTGGAAAGCCATTAGAAAATTGATTAGCTGTGTGATAAAGCAGGTCACCCAACCTCTCTGAACTTCAATTTTCTCATCTGCAAAGTGGGGAAGATAGTACAGACTCCACAGCTGGTTCTGAGGACTAAGAATATTTGGGAACGTCTCTGCTATGCCGGCCAGTGCCAGCGAGCTGGAGGTGAGGAGGGGAGCGGTGGAGAGAAGACTAGTGGGCAGGGGCAGGGTGGCAGAGGAAGGACAGACTTCTACTCACGCTGTCCCAAGCCTTGGAACAAGGCAGAAACACTGTCACAGCCAGGCTGAAATTGGGTCAGGTGGGGCCCCCCAAGGCACAGCCCTAGCCAGACTATCAGAAAAGGGAAACGGAAGTGAGGGCTTGAAGGCGTGCCCGAAAGCGCACTGGAGAGAAAGAGGGGAGGCAGGAGGGATGCAGTCCCATCTCTCTCACCACTCCTGAGAAAGGCCCTGGGAGGCCAGAGAGTCGCAGGCCCTGGACAAGCTGGGAGCACTGCAGTTCTGTTGCCAGGGCTCTTGCCAGGGCAGGGGCAGGTGGGAGTCGAGGGAGTGGGCACCGAGACAGGGAGGGAAGGCCAGTGGGTGTACCTGGCCTGCTGCACGCTGGTCAGTGCACCCTGGGCGGTCTTGGTGGCATGCTGCATGTAGCCCTGCATGAAGCCAAGAAGAGAGGAATCCTCGGCCTCCTCAGCTCCTGAGAGGAGAACAGGGCTGAGCAGGGGTGGATCAGCCTCCAGGGTGAGCCCACAGCTGCTGCTTGGGCGCCCATCAACGTCCAGGATCCCCTGGCTGCTTCCCGCCCTGCCCCAGCCTAGTCCCCACAAAGTGCTTACGGGCCGAGGCCAGGAGCGCCAGGAGGGCGGCAACCAGGAGCACCCGGGGCTGCATGGTGCCTTTGTTCCTGCGGGGAAATATCCGGTAAGGCCACTCCAAGACGCTCACACCTCTGGATCCCTTCCTGGGGAGGTAGTGTGGCCCCTAAGGTGGGACCTGAGCTGGGTCCTCCAGGGGAAAGGCCTGTTCCCCACTAACCAGGGGACTAGGGGGACCCAGGCCCAGAGGGAGGGGGTGGGATGGAGCAGGAAACCCATCAGACTGGGAATCAAGGCACCTGGAGTTTGGCCCGGCCACTGCCACTTGCACGCTATGTGATTTGGGGTAGATTTTTGCCCTCCTCAGACCTCGCTTTTCCTGTCTGGGGTAGCACAGGGCCGTCTAAGGCTTCTTCCAGCCCTATGCATGCAGCGTGAGATGGGAGCGTGCAGACTTGGAGCTGGTTCCAGCCCCGTTTCTAGGTGGCTTCGGGCAAGTGGTCTCCCCTCCCAGGCCTGCATCTCCCCCAGGGTATGACAGGGCGGAGTGGGGGACCTTCATCAAGCCCTGAGTCTTCCTTGGCTCTAGCAGGCCCTTCTCCAGAGTTGCTGGCTGGGCCGGGCAGGGGGCCTCCTCCACCCCTCTCCGTCCTCTGCCCTCCTCTCCTCCTCCCCAGGGGCATTACCTGAAGCAGCTGCTTCTAGGGATGAACTGAGCAGACAGGCAAGAGGGTTCTGACCTGTTTTATATTGTCCCCTGGCCAGCGGGCACCAAGGGCCCAGTGAGCCGGGCAAAGGTCACCTGCTGACAGTCGAGACCAGGGCCCGAGGCAGGGTGGCCAGATGCAGCCAAGCTGCTGGGAGAGTTGGGAAATCCCTTGGAGACCGTGTCCACACTGCTCTCCTTCACCCCTGCAGCCCAGATGGGCTCAGGAGCAGGGCCTGGGGGCCTGGGGTGCCCCCATTCCTCCCCGGAAGACTGGCTGCCCAGGAAGAGGCTGGTGCGGTGGGAGAGGGCTTAGGGGCAGGCCAGAAGCCTCGGGCCCATCTCAGTCTTTCACCCTTGTGTGCTTAGGCCTCTCACTCTGCCACCCCTAAGCCCTGAAGACAGTCTGGAGGAGGGGGTAAGTTAGCTTGAGAATAAGTCAGTGGGTTGGGATGGGGTTATCTGGAGTGAAGGGACAGAGGACCAGTGGGCAGAGGATGGTGCAGGCTTGGGAAACAGCAGAGCTCACACAGCCCCTCCGGCACCTTCATCTCTGGCTTCACCCCGCGCTGCTCACCCAGCAGCCTCCCCCCACTGAGCCCAGGGCAGGGGTTGGTGGGAGAAGGGCAAAGGCCGCTCTGAGACCAAGGCCTTTGCCCCTCCCCTCCTCCCATGTGCCTCACCTTGCCCTCTGAACCCACTGATAACACCCCTGGGGCAGGAGCTGGGCTCATGGGTGGGGCGCTCCCCAGACCCAGCCTGGAATGGATAATTGGGCCGGATTCCTCTTCAAGGAAACAGCAGCCCTCACTGCAGCCGGCTGTGGGCACCTGGAAGGGACAAGGTGCGAGGAGGCCAGGCTGTGAGGAGACAGCCCTAATGGGCTCTGTGGGGCCGTCAGCTGTCAGGAAGGGGCCTCTGACCCTTCCCTGGGCCCACAGCAGGAGCTGCAACCAGGATGGCAGGACAGGGGACTTTGTCTTCTGGATGCTAAGACCTGAGATCCAAGAAATTTGGGGTTTAAGTGATGCCCCATATAACCCACGGCTAGAGTTCTGACATCTCAGAACCTCCATTTTCTGAGGATAAATTGGGGATAGAAGATCAATGGTCAAGAGTTGTGGTGAAAAGTAGATGAGGTCTGTCCAAAGCAGCAGATCCAAGGGGATTGATGCATCCTTCTCCCTCCCCTCAGACACTGCCCTGCCCCAGACAGCACAGTCCGAAGGCAGAAGGAGCCTTCAACTTAACAAAAGGGCTTTGGCAGGTGGTCATCCTCTCAGGAAGAAGCAACTAACCCCACAGTGTGTGAAATCAGAGGCCTGGCCTTACCTTCAGAATTCTTTAGCCATGGCTGAGGCTTGAAATTCCTGTATTAGCGATTCATTCCTTTGACTTAAGACTTTGTTTTCGGTTATGATGCAAATAGAATCCTGTGAAGCAGACATTAACTCCATTATTATTATTATTTTTGAGTTGGAGTCTCACTCCCTCACCCAGGCTGGAGTGCAGTGACACACTCAAGGCCACCCCAGTGTCGACCAGCTGGCCTCCAGCAATCCTTCCGCCTCAGCCTTCCAAGTAGCCAGAACTACAGGCATGTGTTACCATGCCTGGCTAAATTTTGGGTTTATTGTAGAGTCGAGGTCTTTCCAAGTTGACCGGGCTGTTCTCAAACTCATGGGCTCAGACAATCCCCTCACCTCAGCCTCCCAAAGTGCTGGGAGTATTAGGCGTGAGCCACCACGCCCGGTTTAACTCCATTTTTGAACCTGTGGTTCGAAGGGGTGGGGACCCAGCCAAGTGCACAATCTGTCAGTGGTCAGGCTGGAAAGCAAAAATCCAGGTCTTCAAACACCCAGGCAGGTCCCAGATAGCCTAGAAAGGTGAGACTCTTAGAGACTCACCCATCACTCACTCCTCAGAGCAAATCTGTGTCAGGTCTCTTTCTAAGAGGACTTCTGTGATGGGGTAGAAGGTGATATAGAGGTCACTGAGGGATCTGGGCACTGGGGAAGGGAAAAGGCTGACTGTGCCCACTTTCCTACTGTGTTCTGGCCTGCTACTTAGTGCCAGAGGTGAGGGGCACAGGGAGGACCCAGATGCCAGGCAGGGGTGGACAATGAGGTTCTTGGACCTGGCCATGTAAGAATGGGCTGGTTGGGTCCTGTAGCCTGGCTTTCCAACTGTGTGGCAGGTCCAGAGGAGCCTTCCTCTCTCTTCTACGTGGCAATGGGCCGCCAAGCCCAGAGAAGCCAGAGATGTGGGCAGAGAGATATAGCCGATGGTTCTGAGCTGGACACAGCATGTCTCAGCACCTGTGGTGCCTGCATCTCTCCTAGCAGTTCAGCCTGGGTCTTGGTGGGGCCCTCTTGGTGGTCAGCCTTAGCTGCCCTTCCCTCCCACCATGTCTGCCTGGAATGGGGAGACTTGGCTCAGAGACCAGGCTCTGGGAGGTAGCCAGTGGGAGGTGAGAGGAACAGGGGGGTTGACCAGCTGGGGTCAAAAATGGTCTTCAGGTGTCTTCTGACTCTCTGTTTCTACTTGTGTCCAGGTGAGGTTTAGTGCGTGAGCCCCTGTGATCCATGCCCCTGCCACCAGGCTAGGCTAGACAGTCCTGATTCAGCCCTGCTGGCCAGAGGCCTTTGTTCATCACACCTCTCCATGCTGGCACTTCCTCCTCATATCTTACCAGATCCTTCCAATGGCAACAGGAGCTGTCCCCCTTTAGTTCTGCCCTGGGAGAAAGACCAGTATAGAGCTTATGTAGGGTGTGTGTCCTCATGACTTGCCTGTCCCTGGCTGAGCCTATCCCTGGCTGGATCTGAGCCATCTGTTCCTGACTCTGGCCTCCGGACTGACCTCATGCGGATGGCCAGGGGAGGTGGCTGCAGGCAGTGCTGACCTACAGGCCTCACTGCCTCGCCAACCATTCGGTCTATCTGTGGTGGAGACAAGGAGAGGCACAGAGAAGGGATGTGACACGCCCAAGACCACACAGGCCCTGTACCTAACTACTGTCTTCATCCCCTGATGCACAGGACCTGGCCTGGCTGGGAGGCTGCCTGTTCTTCCCATCGTTACCTCGTGCCCTCTGAGACTGGGCACAGGGACTCTCACTTTCTCCCTGCTCCCCAATACAAATCCCTCTACAGATCGATGCCAAACACACCCACAGACTGTGGGAAGTAAATACAGTCATTAACAGCATCCCCTCCCCCCATGCTGGCGGGGGCAGCAAGCCCTCTTGGTTAGTCCCTTTGTGCCAGCCCTGATGCCCATAGACAGTTCAGCTATTGGCATACTTCTGGGTTTTGTTTTGTTTGTTTGTTTGTTTTTGTATTGAGGGTTTTTTTTGGTTTTGGTTTTGGTTTTGAGTTGGAGTCTCACTCTGTCACCCAGGCTGGAGTGCAGTGGCATGCTTATGGCCACCCCAGCTTTGACCTGCTGGGCTCTGGCGATCCTTCCACCTCAGCCTTTGAAGTAGTCGGAACTACAGGCATGTGCTACCATGCTGGACTCATTTTTAATTTATTGTACAGACAAAGTCTTGCCAAGTTGAACCCACAGACTCAGGCAATCCACTTGCCTCGATCTCCCAAAGTGCTGGGATTACAGACTGAGCCACTGAGCCTAGTCTTTGTATTGTTTATGAGTTGGAGTCTCACTCTGTCATCCAGGCTGGGGTGCAATGGAACAATCATGGCCCACCACAGCCTCAAACTCCTGGGATCAGGTGATCTTTCCACCTCAGCCTTCCGAGTAGCTGGGACTACAGGTGCACCACCACGCCCAGCTAAATTTTTTAATATTTATTTTTGCAGAGACATGGTCTCACTATCATGCCCAAGCTGGTCTCGAACTCCTGAGCTCAAGCAATGCTCCTGCCTCAGCCTCACAAAGTGCTGGGATTACAGGCATGAGCCACCACACCTAGCCACTTCTGTGAATCTCTGCATGGCGGATGCTCTCAGACACACTTGAATGGTACAGGCACTCCCATTGTGGGTGTACCTGGTGGGCAGGTGAGACGGGGCACCTCTGGACCTGTCTTAGGCTGACAGCACCTGCTGCTCAGACTGTAAGTCCAGTGGGTCAAACTGCAGCTGAGGTGTCCTTCATGACTCATTCCCCAGCTCAGCTCTGGCCCAGGGGGAAGGGACGTGGGTACTGAGCACTGACCTTTGCTCCCACTGCAGGCTGGACAGTGCCTTATTTGGGAGCAGGACTGGGATAGATGGGTCAATGTTCCAGGGAGGTGAGCCTTTCAGGGGTAAGACGTGGCTAACATATAGGGAGCACTTACCATGCACCAGACCCTGTTGCAAGCGCTACACAAATGATCTCACAGTACCCTCACAGCCAGGAAGCAGATACAATGATTATGTCCCGCAGAGGCTCAGAGAGGTTATAAGACTTGTTCAAGGTCATATAGACAGTACCTGGTGGAGCCAAGATGTAAAGCCAGGGAGTCAGACCAGAGTCTGAATTCACCAACCACTGGGAGACGGCACAGGCTATTCTAGGAAAGAGTGAGCTCCCCGGACACTGGAGGCAACATGGTAGTGTGGGAGCCACTGCAGGCTAGTGGGGACCCAGCAGAAACAGATCCAGGATCAGAAGGTCATTTGGCTATCTCTGGCCACATGAGACATCAAGTCACTTTTAGAATCTGAAATAATGAAGACATGGTGAATCAGAGTTAGCACACTTGTCTTGTAGTCTTCCTTTCTTCCTCCCTCCCTTCCTTCCTTCTATCAGGGGTTTTGCTTTAATCCAGTCTGGAGTACAGTGGCAAGTTCACAGCTCACTGTAGCCTCAACCACCTGAGCTCAAGTGATTCTTCCCCCTCAGCCTCCCGAGTAGCTGGGACTACAGACATGTCACCAAGACCAGTTTAATCTTATTTTGTATAGACGAGATCTGGCTATGTGGCCTAGGATGGTCTTGAACTCCTGGGCTCAAACAATCCTTCTGCCTCAGTTCTCAAAGTGCTGAGATTACAGGCATGAGCCAATGCGCCCAGCCTGGTCTTTCATTTTCACAAATAACCACAGCCCACCAATATGTCTGACATTGTACTCACAGACAGGAGCCAACAGTGGAATATGACATGTTATCTCACAGTCACTGGGAGTGGTGTAGTCCAGCAGAGGAACTCACACTGACCATGGTGTGTCATCTTCTCAGGGATATCTTTCTGTGATTGCGCATGTAACCTAATTTAGAGATGCCATTACAAGTCTGGGTAGAAGACCTTATGGGCAGCACCATTGTCTCTTCCATCCCCCAGGGAAAGGGCCCCTGGAGGGGGCCAGCTGCTCCCACCCAGCAAGTGTGGCTAGGGGGTGGGGAGGGCAGGAAGCAGGCCTCAGTCTGGTCCCAGCCATCACCCTGCCTCTGACCCACCTGGCACCTCTAAAGGTCTGGGTCTTAGGCTGCCACTCTCACTAGAGGGATAAGCACTTGCTATACTCCCTGCCTTGATCCAAATCAGGAAAACAATATTATTAGTAGTGATAATCCCAGCAACTACTTTTCAGTGCTCACTCTGTGCCAGCCACTATGCAGGCAGCCCTCTGTACTGTGGGTTCAGCATCCATGGATTTAACCAATTGCAAAAATATGTTTTAAAAAATTGCATCTGCACTGAACTTGTACAGACTTTTTGCTTGTCATTAGTCCCTAAATAATACAGTATAGCAGCTATTTACATGGCATTTACATCATATTAGGTGTTATAAGTAAGCTAGAGATGATTTCAAGTTGATGGGAGGATGTGCACAAGTTATATGCAAATACGACACCATTTGACTTGAAGACTGGAGCATCCGTGGATTTTGACATCTGTGGAAGGTCCTGGAATCAATTCCCCACAGATACCAAGGGATCAGTGTAGTACTCACTTCATAAACAATGCCTGGTTTTTTAGAGATGGGCTCTCACTATGTTACCCAGGCTGATCTCAAACTCCTGAGCTCAGCAATCCTCCCACCTTGGCCTCCCAAAGGCAATTTCTTATTTAATTAATGTCGGGGTCTCACTCTGTCATCCAGGCTGGAGTGCAGTGGCATAATCACAGCTCACCACAGCCTCAATCTCCAGGGCTCAGGTGATCCTTCCGCCTCAGCCTCCTTAGTAGCTGGGACTACAGGTGCACCACCATGCCCAGCTAATTTTTCAATTTTTTGTAGAGACAAGGTGTCTCTCTATTGCCTAAGCTGGTCTCGAACTCCTGGACCGAGGCAATCCTCCACCTCAGCCTCCCAAAGTGCTGGGATTACAGGCATGAGCCACTGTGCCTGGGTGAGCAATGTCTTATTTAATGTACTAAACAACACCATTGTTCAAGGAGAAACTGTAGATTGGGGCTTTGAATAATGAGAACTAGATGGCACAGCTTAACAGTGGTGGGATATGAAGCGCAATTACAATTAACTCCTTCAATACAGGGCCCCGTCCACCCCACCCACCTGCCCAAATGCTCTCCAGGGTCCCCTTCTCCTGGGTAAACTTTGACAAGAGACCTAGATCTTAGCTTGCTGTCCCATTTCCATCCCCAGATGGTCCCCGTCCAGTGTCTGGTGCTCTGAGGTGGCTCAGAGTTGGTGGTAAATGTGGGGATGGGGGACTCTCTCCACTGGGGCAGACAGAGGAGATATGGACCTTGCCCCCCAAGTCAGGCCCAGACCCAGAGCTGCCAGCAGGGCCTTTGGGGCATCACCCTGAGGCCCAGGGGCTTCCTAGGCTGTGTTTCTCCTGTACTCTTGACTCCCCTCTCACCCAGGGTGAGGCACAAATACAGATCATCCAGCCCCTTCCGACCGCTGCCTAAGCCCCAGTCTGCTGTCAGCTTCCACGTAGTCTTAAGGTCACTAAAGTCCAAGAGGGCTCATGGGAATGTGTCACCTTCCAGCGTGGAGTCACACTGGGGAGAGAGGCGGGGAAAGCAGCCAGGTGGGAATTTAAACGTCTGGCTGGCTCTGAACTCAGTCAGTTTACACAGCTGCACAGGTGAGCTGTCTGAAGACTTCTCCTGCTCCCTCTGATTCCAGGAAGGATCCAGTGTGGCTCAAGACTCCTGCAGCCCAGCAAGGAGCGCAGGATGTTCCTGAAGGCTGTGGTCCTGACCCTGGCCCTGGTGGCCGTCACCAGTGAGTAGAAGCTATCTTTGGATGGGGCGGTCTCAGGTTGCTGCAATGAGTGGACAGGGCAGAGAAGCTGGGCAAGGGAGCAGTTCTGAGTGTGTCAGTTGCTGGCTGGCTCACAGGAGAGCTGGTCCGCTCTCAGGGGTAGGCGCACTGGCTCTGGTGCTATACACAGGTCCCTGTGGCTTCTGATGACCTAAGCTAAGATAGGAAAAATGGCGAGTTGGGCTCCCCACTGTCATCCAGTCAGAGCTGGACAGAGGGGCCAGGAAGGAGACGTGTCCTCATGAATTGTTCTGCTACCTGCCCAGATGCCCAGGCTGAGGTCAATGCTGAGCAGGTGGCCAGCGTGGTGTGGGACTACTTCAGCCAGCTGAGTGACAATGCCAAGGAAGCCGTGGAACATCTCCAGAAGTCTGAACTCACCCAGCAGCTCAAGTAAGGGGGGGGTCTTAGTTGGGGGGGGGTTCGGAGGGTCTTAAAGGCCATGCAATTTATTGGCAAGGACTGAGCTTGGAGGCAGGAGACCTGAGCCCGGGATATACTCACTACCCAGCCACTAACTCACTGGGTGGCTCTGAGATCTCTGGACCAAAGATCCACATATGTATATAGGGAGGTTTGACCGGATAATCCCTAAGGTATCTTCCTGCTTTAACATCCTAGAATGAGTTTGACAAATGGCTCCATCCTGTTATCGAGGGAGGGAAATGCCCTGTAAGCTGGGTTCTGAGACATTCCAGAAAGACAGGCCCCAGTGACATGGAGGGGACGGGAGGTGGGACTATTGGGGAAGCCTCTGGGTACATGCAAGGAAATCAGCACCTTGTGCCGGTAGAAAGAAAACACTGGTGGCAGAGGGCAAGAACACATTCTGTTACCCAGTGTGGTACTGTGTCACAGAACATCCCGGTTGGAAAGGACCTCAAAGTCCAATCCTATACTTTACAAAGAGCTAAAAGCAAATTGCTCAAGGCCACATGATGGGTAGAGACTGAGACAAACTCAGCCTGAGGTCCGGAGATTCAAATGCAAGGTAGTGCATCCAATCTCTCCAATCATGATCCACCACAGAAAGGGCCACCCCGGGGAAAGATGGGTGAGCTGGGTACCCCTGAACATTCACCCAACCTAGCCAGGTGTGTATAAAGTGAGTGGTACAGAAGCCAAAGAAGTCCTGCCGTGTCAACGCCGAGTGTGTAACGGTGGCCCCTTGCCTCGCCCCCTCCCCAGTGCCCTCTTCCAGGACAAACTTGAGGACGTGAACACGTACGCGGGTGACCTGCAGAAGAAGCTGGTGCCCTTCGCCACGGAGCTGCACGAGCGCCTGACCAAAGACTCAGAGAAGCTGAAGGAGGAGATTCGGAGGGAGCTGGAGGAGCTGCGGGCCCGGCTGCAGCCCCACGCCGTCGAGGTGAGCCAGAAGATCGGGGGCAACGTGCGCGAGCTGCAGCAGCGCCTGGGGCCCTACGCCGACGAGCTGCGCGCCCAGGTCAACGCGCAGGCCGAGCAGCTGCGCGGCCAGCTGGGCCCCTACGCGCAGCGCATGGAGAGGGGGCTGCGGGACAACGGGAACGCCCTGCAGGCCGCGCTGACGCCCTACGCCGACGAGCTCAAGACCAAGATCGACCAGAACGTGGAGGAGCTCAAGGCGCGCCTCACGCCCTACGCCGACGAGCTCAAGGTCAAGATAGACCAGACCGTGGAGGAGCTGCGCCGCAGCCTGGCCCCCTACGCGCAGGACGTGCAGGAGAAGCTCAACCACCAACTCGAGGGCCTGGCCTTCCAGATGCGGAAGAACGCGGAGGAGCTCAAGGCCAAGATCGCGACCAACGCCGAGGAGCTGCGGCAGAGGCTGGCGCCGGCGGCCGAGGACATGCGCAGCCAGCTGCAGGGAAACGCCGAGGGGCTGCAGAAGTCCCTGGCGGAGCTGAACGACCACTTGGACCGGCAGGTGGAGCGGTTCCAGCGCAACATAGAGCCCCAGGTGAAGAAGGTCAAGGAAGCTCTGGTGAAGCAGGTCGAGGAACTCAAGCAGAAGCTGGGCCCCCACGCGGGGGACGTGGAAGGCCATTTGAGCTTCCTGGAGAAGGACCTGCGGGACAAGGTCAACTCCTTCTTCAGCACCCTCAAGGAGAAAGAGAGCCAGGACAAAATCCTGGCCCTCCCCCAGTCGGAGCAGGTGCAGGTGCAGGCGCAGGCGCAGGCCCCTTTGGAGAGCTGAGCTGCCCCTTTGGAGAGCTGAGCTGCCCCTGGTGCCCTCGCCCCACCCCCGCGGACACCTGCCCTGCCCTGCCACCTGTCTGTTCGTCTGTCCCAAAGCAATTCTGGTATGATCTTGAGGACACATGTCCAGTGGGAGATGACACCGCCTCTCACTACTCAATAAACCCGCTGAGAGTCTAGCCTTGTCTCGTTGCTGTGCGATCCTCCCTGCAGCTAGGCCCCAGGTGGGGAGGAGACCACTGCTTGGCAGAGCTTAGCAGCAAACTGGCAGGGAATACTCTGGGGCTGGGGAGAAGAGACTGCAGGAGGGGTAAGGGTAGGGTGTGCTAGAGAGGAGTGTGTGGGGAGGGCTCTAAGGGGAGGTGGAAAAAGACGTCACACGTTATCCCAAGACAAAACATGCAACTCACTTATTTTCATTCAGCCAACAAATACTGATTGAATGCCCTGGGTGTGCCAGTCATTGTTCTAGGTACTACACTGCGAGCAAGCAGCTTTTGTGGAGCTGTGCGCCTGGCGCTGCTTCACGCTGAAGGGGACACCTGGAGCCGAGCAGGACATGGTCACTGGCCTTGGAGAGCTCACAAGGGAGCCCACAAGGGAGATTTTTCCTGATCTTCTGTGCCTTTAACCTGGCTGATTTATGTAAAGTTTAGTTTAACCCACCCCAGCCCAGCCCCATCACAAAAGCGATTCGTGCTTATTTCAGAAATTCCTTGACTGCTAAACTCATGGTGTCCATACAGAGTTGAGGAATGAGGCTGACATGAGTCCAGGGAGGAGGCAGAGCTGGTGCCAGAGAATCCTACCAAGGGACCTGCTTCTCTGGGGCCAGGTTTGCAGCCGCTGAGGTTAAAGGAAGAGAGTTCTGGAGGCCACGTGGTCTCATCAGCACAACCAGCTGTGGGCAGCTGCAATCTTTGGAGTGGGCTCCCCTTCCACCCTTGAGACTCACAGACTCCCCCAAGGAGGGAGCCTCAGAAGAGAGCCAGTTCAAACCTTGTCCCAAAAGACTCAACAACTTGGTTGTTACTCCTGACCCCAGGTTTGTGAGCCCAGCCCATCACCCCTATCCTCCACATAGTGAGATGCGGGTCCTTCAAGGCTTTCCTGGAAGAGGCCCGGAACATGCTGGGGGCGGGTCCCCGAGGTTGTCCCTCCCTCCCAAGGTGCTCTCAGGGTGGTGTCCCCCCATGCAAGATCTAGCCAGGCCTGTTCTGCTCTGGCTTAGGAGCTGGCCTGGGCATCTGGGAGGGGTGTAGGCTTGGGAGTCAAGCAAACCCGGGACCTGACTTTCTGGCTGACTACTGGGTGATTTGGGGTATACGATTAAACCTCTTTTGGAAGATAGTGGTAATGATAATCCTTGGCTAAGAGAGTCATTCTGAGGGTTTGATGGAACAACTGGTATCGAGCACTTAGCACAATATCAGGCACAAACATGCAGTGACTAGCTTACATATCACTGCTGCTGTGGAACAATCGGTTTCCAATAAAGTGATTTCCTCCTCCCACTCATGCTCAGGTCACACCCTCTGTTACAAGAGGCTGCCAGAGCTGGCCAAGGGCAGACCCTGGTGTCCCCCAGCCCCCAGCTGCCTTCACTCCCAAAATCCAGGCCTGTAATGCTGCTATGGCCACCTCTGCATCTAGTGCACTAGAAGGGCAGGAAACTACCAGTGAAAACACCTTGGCAAACCCACCTGGAGGTCTACTGAATGGCTTTAGGAAAGGGCCAACGAGGCCAAACAGAGCAAAGAGGTACTACCAGGAAATTGGACACAGAGTGGGGAGGTTTCTGAATGGGTCTGGAAGCTTCCAATATGCTCTCAGATCTCACTCGAGGTCCACCTGGTTGAGTGCGGCCTCCAGGACCCCTGGGGGCCTTGGTGTCTCCCAGAGCTTGGCTCTTGGTATGAATCCTGGATGGGATGCCTGCGTGCCTCCTACTGCCCCCACCATCCTGCAGGTCTCTGAGGGTCCTGCTGCAGTCTTAGTCCACCTGGACAAGGAATGCCTTCTCTCTCCTGCTTCAAGAGTCCTCATCTGATCTTCAGTCTCCTGGGTCACTGACCTGGCAGATGGCTCCTGGTGGTAACATTGCTTTTGGCTGCTGCAATGAACCGAACGCTTATGCCCCCCAACCTCAAATTCATATGTTGAAATCCTAACCCCTAAAGTGATAGTATTAGGATGTAGGAACTTTGGGAGGTAATTAATGGCACCAGTGGCTTAGAAAAGAGACTCCAAAGAGATTCCTTGCCCCTGCCATGTGTGAAGACACAATTAGAATGCACCATCCAGGAAATGGCCCCTCACCAGATCAAGTTTGCTGGTGCCTTAATCTTGGACTTCCCAGACTCCTGGGCTGTGAGGAATAAATGTCTGGTGTTTATATGCCACCCAGGTTATGGTATTTTGTTGTGGCAACCCAAATGGACTAACACAACTGTCCAGTCTTAGATCCTCCCTCGCTCTGTTTGGGGAATGTCTCACTGATGAGTTTTGATGGGACCCAGAGGTTGTTTCCATCATAGACACTAAAAATGCCAGCTGCTAGCCTTCCAGCCTCCCTTGCCTCGAGAGTGTGACATGGAACCTATGCTCAGCAGATCAAATGTAAAGTAATTGCCCCAGGTTGGTATAAATAAACAGGGATAGCAGAGGAGCCTTTCAGGGGTGGGCCGAAACAATGTGGCAGTCACAGCCAGGCCAGAGCCTCAAGCAAGGGGTCCAGGCGTGGCAGTGGCAACCAGGCAAGCCAGGCTGTCCTTGTTGTCACTCAGTGGTGGCAGCACAGCCATCCCCATGAGAAAAAAAATAAATTACAAACCAAGTACTCCAGTTGTCCTAGACATTTCCTCAAAATTCCTGAAATATTTCAACAAATTTATCTCCAACTTATATTTTCCTAAGCAGGTTTCTGTGGCTAGCAACTAAGAACCTTGATTGATAAGCCCCCTTCCCTCTTGGGGAGGTTACTCCTGCTTTGGCCCTTGAAAGCCACGTCCTCCTTCCTGACCTGCCCCCGTCGGTCCTGTTGGCTTGTCTGAGGTATGCTTATTAGTCCTCATGATGGTTGGTTTTATCTTCCTGGGATGACAGTTTTCCTCTTTTGTTTGAAGTGAGTATGTAGACTTCATCTCCTGTGACCAATCAACCCAGGGATCCTCTCTAGTGGCTGGGATGGTTGTGCGACTGAGGACTTGAGGAAGTGTCCATGTTCTTCCCCACTGGGGTAACCAGCTTTTCTTACCCTGCTCTGAGAGTCACTGACAGATGGTCTCAGATCTCCCATGAGGCCCTGAACTCAAGAAAAATACTCTGATTTGCTTCAGAATGTTTATTTGTGGGAAGATGTCCAAGATTCTTTTTTTTGAGTTTGCGTCTCTATCGCCCAGACTGGAATGCAGTGGCACACTCATGGCCACCCCAGCGTTGACCTGCTGGACTCCGATGATCCTTCCGTCTCAGCCTTCCAAGTAGCCAAAACTACAGGCATGCACTAACACACCTGGCTAATTTTTTATTTATTGTAGAGACGAGGTCTCACCAAGTTGCCCGAGCTGGTCCAAGATGTTTTAAGCAAAAAAAGTAAGGTCCCGACCATTACGTACTAAACTCCTTTAAGAATTAGAGTCTATAATACTCGGTGATTTATCACAGAAACAAAGATCTGAGTACCACATGTACTCACTCATAAGTGGACCCTGAACATTTATCATATGATAAGAAAGGGATTCTCAGTAGTGGGATACTGCCAGGGGAGAGCGGACAGGGAAGCATATAACATCAATATATGTACCACACATTATCTATACGGTGACCATATATGTACCTAACCTTCAATTATACTCACATTTTTAGAATTAAAAAAATAATTTTTAAAAAAGAAGAAGAAACACAAACACACATGCCTATTTGTGTGTGAACGTGTGAGGAGGTAAACATGCTATTAGTTCAACAGCTAGACCTAGAATGCTTCTAAGAGAGAGAATTTTGTTTGACAGCTCAGACTAGCTGCTGAAGAGGAGACCCCGAGGAACCTTCTGAAAGGGGAACGTGAACCAGAGAGATGGCTTCAACCATTCCGTGCATTCCCTGCACAGGTATTTGAGGTGGTAATGATGAGTCAGAAAGGAGGGGAGGTCACAGAAGGGAACACAGGGAATCGAAGAGGAGTCTTTCTCTGCCCCAAATGAAGGCAAATGAGAAGCCTCCAGCAGCAAGAGTTGTAGAGCTTTTCAGTACAGGGTGGTGATAAAGTTGACAGGCAATACTCCTAGTACTAGGTGCTTTTTGGTAGAAATGCAAACTAGTTCAACCCCTGTGAAAAGCAATTTGGAGATTTCTCAAAGAACTAAAACTAGATTTATCATTAGACCCAGCAATCCCACAACTGGGTATACACCCCAAAGAGTATAAATCACTCTACCAAAAATACTCCTGCACTTGTATATTTAGTGCAGCACTGTCCATGATAGCAAAAACATGGAACCAACCAAGGTGCCCATCAACTGTGGACTGGATAAGGAAAATGTGGGAACTATACAACATTGAATACTACATAGCCATAAAAAAACAAAATCCTGTCCTTTGCAGCAACATGGATGCAGCTAGAGACCATCATCCTGAACCAAATATCACAAAACAGAAAACTAAATACCACATGTTCTCCCTAATAAGTGGGAGCTAACCACTGAATACACATGGGCACAAGGATGGGGACAACAGACATTGGGGCACACCTAAAGGGGAGAGGGGGGAGGGGGTCAAGGTTGAAAAGCTTCCCACTGGGTACCATGTCCACCACCTGGGTGCCAGGCTCAATAGAAGCCCAAAGCTCACCATCATGCAATATATCTGTGTAGTAAACGTGCACTTGTACCCCTTGAGTCTAAAAACAAAACACTAGGTCCACTACTAGGGGGAAAGAGGGCTCACTAGAAGCCCAAACTTCACCTGCATGCAATTTACTTATGTAGTAAATCCTCACATGTGCCTCACAACTCTAAAACAAATAAATGAATAATTTTTTAAAAAATAATTAATCAGTATTTTTTATTATGGTTTTGTGGGGTACAGTTAAGGGTTAGGTGTACAATTACATTTCATTCAGGCAC